AATTGAACACATCTAAGCTGGCCGCTGATCGCTTGTCGTTATACCCTACAACCCCTAACCTTAACACCCATTTCACAGAGATTAACGCATCGGAGTAACATATATGTACGTTACCTATACGACAACAACCCTTCTTGCTGCTCTAACTATCGCCCTATAGGCGTCTATGTCCCCCAGGTACTGCGAAACGTACCCTGAGGTACGGCTCCGGGTCACTACCGGACAACCGTACCCTCGGCTAACTATTATGATATGCGTCTAAGGGTTGAGGGCTTAGGGAGTAGTGGTATGGCAACATCCCTAGACTTGTTAGGTGAGAGCTAGGCGACGGATACGGTCCGCATAAGTAAGATCAGTACCAGGGTACAGTTCCGGCTAGTACCCTGGCGCCGGACATTAACCTTCTCAGCTCTACTATCCCGCGGATATCAGGATGACGCCGTAATTTCGCACTCTTAGATCTAAGATGGTTAGCGGATTAACACACACATCTCAAGCTGGTAGGGATTAACACAACACATAACTAAGCTGTTGCGGATATTAACACAAACAATTAAAGCTGGTGGATTAACACAACACATCTAAGCTGCGTGGGGATATTACACAACACATCTAGCTCGAGTGGCAATTAACACAACACATCTTAACGATGGTGGGATTAAACAATGACACATCTCAGCTGTGAGGATTAACACAACACATCTAAGCTGTGTAGGGATTAAACACTACACATCCTAAGCCTGCAGCTGGGATTAATCATAACAAATCTAAAGCTGGCCCTGCGGATAACATAACACATCCTAAGCTGGTGGCGATTAACATACACACAGCTAAGCTTGGTGGAATTAACACAACGACATCACTAAGCTGGTCTGGGGATTAACACAAACACATTGTAAGCTGGTGGGATTATTAACATAACACCATCTTAAGCTGCTGTTGGGATTAACACAACACATCCAAAGCTTTGTGGGATTGACCACAACACATCTAAAGTGGCGGGCATTAACACTAAACACATCTAACAGCTGGTCGCAATATAACACAAACACATCTAAGCTGGGGCCGTGGGATTAACATAACACATCTAAGCTCGGTGGAGATTAACATAAACACAATCTAGCTCGGTGGGAATTAACATAACACATCTAACGCTGTGGGATTTAACATAACAAATCCTAAGCTAGGTGGGATTAAACAACAATCTAGCTGTGGGATTACATAACACATACTAAGCTTGGTGGCGATTAACATTATTTTTGCTAAGCTGGTAGGATAAACATATTACAGCTAAGCTGGTGGGATTAACATAACACATCTAAGCTGGTGGGATTAACATAACACATCTAAGCTGGTGGGATTAACACAACACATCTAAGCTGGTGGGATTAACATAACACATCTAAGCTGGTGGGATTAACATAACACATCTAAGCTGATGGGATAACCATAATACACCCCAGTACACTACTAATAATAGAAAGTTTAATAACACAATGATGTGTAGATTATAATTAGTTCTGACATTAATTCTATCCAGTGTGTGAGATATCCGATGCCAAAATGCATCTCTGACGTCTGCAGATTATAATTTTGAAATGTAATTAACGTAGAGGCACTCCTGAAGCTTACAATGGCTGTAACTTTACGAAGCACCTTGATATATAATCCCAACACATTTAATGCAGTAGTAGGAAGCAAATCGCTGAAAACTACACCAATAAAGGATTATGCAGAGTTAGAAGAAATTGTATGAAAAAGGATTTAATAGGATTCCTGCATTTCCTACTTCCTTTTCCATGTAGAGCGCTTACGTGAAAGTTTCCATTACTGTGGTTTCCAACGTGTCCAAGAGCGAAAACAGACACAAAATGTATCGTGCGCTTACGAAGGATAGAATTTTCTGGTCGTGTCACTATCCAACATTGTTCACATAAAACCACTGGGATTCATCACATCTCAATCGGTCGAAATCTCCGCGCTGATAGTAAGTACTACACAGTCTGATGCGTACGTTTATCACAAGCACGCGGTTGTCCGCTGGGCAACGCTGCATGAAAACGGCACTTTGTACAAATCCTCTCACACGCAGATTCTAGATCGCACACACGCGATGCGTTACGCTAATGCAAGCAGGAGCTCACAGATGCCTAGCAGGCATCGAAGGATTATGTGCTGACATTATAACGAATAGTCTGTGTTACGCTGATGCAAAACTGCAACACTGGGCATCCCTGCAACACTAACTATGGCTGAGAGGGTCTCGTTAGTGGAGTAGGCGAAGTACGGTCCGGCATATCACATAGTTACCAGGGTACGTTCCGGTATACCGGACCGTACCCAGGGTAGGTTCCGGCAGTACCCTGGGTGACATAGACTCTCAGCAGCACTGACCATCACTGCAACGGTCAAACCTCTTCCATATTGTATGAGAAAACTAAAACCAAACTTCCACTACAGAATGCCACGCACAGAGAAAGAGAGAGGGGGTGGCAGATACTTGCAGACAGAGTGTTAAGCTGCACACTGTAAGCCTGCATTCGAGACTGCCGCCGTTTCATTAATTTTCTACAGGTCAGTGATATGATAAAGAGAGCACCTTCGACAAAAGCCTGCAGGCGGATACTCGCCAGTGAAGCCTTAACTAGGTCGTTACAAACTGCAGCAGCAACAGCAGTAGCAGCAGCAGCAGCAGCAGCAGCAGCAGCAGCAGTAGCAGCAGCAGCAGTAGTAGAACAACTTATAACTGACAAGAAAGGACAAAAAATCGCTAAGCGCTTCGCCAGCCGAACTAAACGTATAAAAACTTGCTAGTCTACATAGATTAAAATGTTCCTACACTATTTCCCTGCACAAACAGCATGGTTTTTACGAGCAGACTGAGAGAAATCGGCGTTCTAAGAAATGATTCATTCGAAACGGATGCCACCGATAGATCGCTCAGTAGCTGTAAATGTAATCGGCAGCAGTAGCTGTAATCGGCAGCGCACAAGCAAGGATACACATCTTTCATCTCCCCTATGCTGACTTCTCGGATAATATCCTGGATATTGATTACCTGTGAGGAAAAACAATTGCATTTGTGAGAATGGGGTGAACAGCCAGCCGCACTCCATGGTGCAAGGAGTGAGCGTGGAGGAGCTTAACTATTGATTATCCTGACACGATCCTGCGGCCCTTAATCACGCATGAAGCCAGGTCATTCGCCCTTGCTAACTAGATCCTGCCAATAATCCACCTAGGGGATATGAAATAGAAGCAAATCCAACGGAATTAGCTGGACGAGCAAATTTGGGCATCTTGCAATATTATCTAGACAACTCTGAGAGCCGCCGGCTAGCACCAACAGCCTATTTAGTCTGTCAGGGTAAATGCAATGACAGGTAGCTTCACTCTTTATTAATACACAATACTAAAGCTTTATGTGCTACTCACATTTTCATGTTTAAATCGAGTCAGGATCTTGATCTCTCGCAATGTACGTTGGCAGTACGTCTGATGTTCGAATGGCGAGATCTTTTTTATCGCTACTTTAGCCTTTGTTACATTGTCTAATGCTGAACTGAAATGCAGTAACACCTCTTGTTCAATTGCTTGACATAAATGCCATCAGATAGATAGTTACTACTACAACCACAACTGTACACGGTTATTCATTTAAAAGCTAAACAGTGGATAGTTCATGCCAGCCAAAGTCGTGCAAATACATCTTAGAGATCCTAGAGATCCTAGAGAGATCCTAGAAATACATCTTAGAGATCCTAGAGATCCTAGAGATCCTAGAAATACATCTTAGAGATCCTAGAGATCCTAGAGATCCTAGTTACAACCATATTATTATATCACAAGACGATTTCCAAATAATGTCCATGCACATAACAAAAATGTGTATCATTTGTATATATTTTTCATAATTTCACAACTTGGCTTAGACCCAGTGAAAAAAATACACGGGGGCTCGGGGCGATTTAGCCCCCAAAATGCCAAAAAGAGCCCCGGAAATGCCAAAAAGAGCACCCGAAAATATGCATAGAGTTCAATGCAAACCAAATTTTATAGAGCTATTTTCATGCACGCGAGCTTGAAAAGTAGCCCCCGAAAAATAAATTTTTTTCCCTGCTTAGACCTATTATAACAATATCCTTTGGTACATTGTTACTGGTATCAGGGTGACTAACAATTTGCATATTCACTTAATAAGCTAGGTCAAATATGCAATAGCCTGAAACAGGCCTATATATGTGGCGAGCTTCTAGATATATATATAGCTTAGTTTTAATGACTAACACTATATAGCGCATAGGGTCTATGTCCCCCAGGGTACTGCCGGAACGTACCCTGGGTACGGTCCGGTATACCGGAACGTACCCTGGTAACTATTTGATATGGTTAGGGTTAGGGTTGGGGTTTGAGTTAGGGTTAGGGTTAGGGTTAGGGAGAGGGCGTCGGCGACTCCCTAGACTCGTTAGTGGAGTAGGCGAGGTACGGTCCGACATATTAGATAGTACCAGGGTACGTTCCGGTATACAGGACCGTACTCAGGGTACGTTCCGGCAGTACCCTGGGGGACATAGACCCTCTCAGCAACACTATAGTATGACCTATAAAATACGAACTATGTGCATAGTTGGCATTAACATTGTATCAAAGCTACAGAGAAGAATTTAACATACGTTAAAAACATACGAAAAATATACGAATCAAAAACAGATGTTTGCGTAAGTGCTATTGACATTGCATTCCCAACGTACAGAATCTCATATAGAGAATGAAGTTCATATATGATTTAAGGCGCGTAAACGTTGTTCAAGTAAGTTTTACATGCAGAATTTCACTGTGAAATTTAAGTCTTCCACGATCACACAAGTACCATCAAACACAGTTCAGTCCTCTATTAACAGTCAACAAATCAATGTTTAACCCTCCTCTTGAGGGTCAAAAGGTTATCCGACACTTACTCTTCGCACGTCAGTGGAAAGCATATTTCATGGTCCTTTCAATAAAGCCATAAAAATGTTAGGTCACCGCTGAAACAAAAAAGTTTTTCAATCGCTCCGTCAGACCATGTCCTCAGAAAATGTCTAAAATCTGCCCTCTGCCCCATTGACCTTTGACCTGTGACCTCCAATTTCGGCACAGTAACGGCTTTTCCTACCATGATGCTATACACCGACTATCACGAGCCTAGGTCGAGCCGTTTAGATTTGTGCCGCAATTCTGCATTTCCTCCCTATACCTTAAGTTAAGGAGTGAATGTTCCCCCTTCTTTTACACCTCTTGACCTTTGACCTTTGACCCCCAGCTTCGACATCCCAACTCGTTTTCGGATTACCCCCCCACGTCCCGAATATCGTGACCATACGTCGAGCGGTTAAGATTTGTGCCCAACTGTTGACGGACGGACGGACGCTCGGACGGACGGACGGACGGACGGACGGACGATCATGCGATTCTACAAGCTGCATCTGACTATGTCAGATGAGCTAAAAAGATAGAAGACAAATTTATACACTTTACATTCCTAGGCAAATCATCCATAAAATGGTTATTCATCACAAATCATGTGGCCGATCTCCTCGAACTCTCAAAGTTTATCGAAGATTCATTCAAGCTACGACAAGATCCACCAAAAACATAAATGGTGAGATATACCATAGGATATACAAATAATAAATTAAATCACACCACATATCCCAAGCTCAATACAGAGAGGTTTTGGGCTTTACTATTCCTACATCATTCTGTACTCAGGGCACCTGCAGTTTTCGATACCAAACGTTACTATCTGCGGCAACCGATACCACGCGATAGTTTATTCACATAAATCTTGTTCGTTATCGTAGTTTAGGAGTTTGAATTTTATTACACTAGTTTGAAGTGTTGTTTTTTTGGTTAGAATATAACGTTAAATTATGTTAAATAAAAAATATATTAGGCCGATGAAAGTTGATTTCATGGTTCTCGTCAGGCATTGTTGAGATTTTGATGAGGGATTTAGATCAACATTCATCTTTCATATACAAACCAATAGAACTTAGTGAGGGTATCGGGTCTTGTACATATGCAAAATAAGATTGAAAAATGTCATAACTTCTTTGTTGAGTTTTTACTCAAATTTTTACTGTTTGTCTTCCATACATGATACATGTAGTGCTGACTGTAGATTGTTGATTTTTTGAGGCGGGAATTTCATATGGGGACTTTTTGATGCGGGAATTTCGTCAGCGATGAGTGTTGAACTTTTTTGGTGCGGGAGTAAAATTTGATGCGGGCGCTGACGAGAACCATGACATCAACTTTCATCGGCCTTATGTACCATGGCGTCATGCAGTCATGTCAAGTAGTATAAGACACATCGTTTCTCCCTTGTTTTTATTAGCCTAGGAACTTGTTTTATTGTAGTTTGTAGCCTATTTGCCTGTATGATCTGCGATTATCCGTGCAATAAACTTTATTTGAATTTGAATTTGAATAACTTAAGATTAAGATAAAAATAACACATTTACACACAGAATTGTAATTATAGTGATATTATATTATGAAAAAAAAATAGTGATGAAAATATGATGGTAAAATTTGTGTGTTTTCATGGAAAATACATCAGAAAACTTATTTATCTACCGATCATAAACCAAAACAAATATTTACAAATGGCGTTTGTTCTCTTGTTTTGAAGGTTTGTTGAGTCTAAGCAAATCAAAGCAGCCAAAGGAGCCCAAAACTTTGCAATGGATATAACGTGTAGGAAAAAATAATTCGCTACCAGGCCACGGGCTGCAAGTGCAAGTGCAAGTTGAACTTGCAACAGCAAGGCACCACCTTATTTCCAATATGACTTAGAAAGCAAGTTGCAACATGCACAACGACGTAACTTACCAGACCATTCCATAAGCACCTTCGCCAATGTACGCAAGCTTGATATATCTTGGGCCGACATCAAATATTTGCCCCCGAATTAGTTCGGGGGAGCTCTTCGTTTGTGCATCCTCTGCCATGTTCACAGTGACGTCATTACCACCTGAAAGCTGTTCACTTGTAATAGTCAGGTCCCTTAGTACAAAATATGGGTCGAATCGTTACAGGAGTGACAAAAGTCTCAAACTTGGCACAGTTGTAGCTTATGGCAGTACTATAATTATTAGAGAGGGTGCCCAATGCAGATATTTCTTAGAAGTGAATTACAGATGATTAAATGTTCGAACCACACGACTCCGAACCCACCTACCGCGCCCGCCTGTGTACAATGCCAGCTGTACAATGCGCCAGTACACATAGTAGAGGCGGGCGCGGTAGGGGGGTTCGGAGTCGGGTAGTTCGAACATTTAATCATCTGACATCTGTAATTCACTTCCGCGCGCATATATTTGCTAATATATTGACTAATATTCACAGAGAGTATAGCTAGGACATGTGTCTATAGGTATCTAGAATTTTAGAAATGTAACTCAAATCCTTCGCGAGATATTAGAGTTAGTACACTATCCTACGGGCCATATATATAGCCGCGCGAATATATTAGCCTATGAGTGATACCGTGCGTATATTTTTGGTAATTAATTAAACTGTTCGTGCTTTAATAAACTCAAAATTCACAGAGTCCATAGCTAAGACATGTGTTTACATGTATCTAGAATTTTAGAAAATGTAACTCAAATCCTTCGCGAGATATTAGAGTTAGTATACTATCCTACGGGACATTAGCCGCGCGTATATATTAGCCTATGAGTGATACCGTGCGTATATTTTTGGTAATTAATTAAACTATTCGTGCTTTATTAAACTCAAAATTCACAGAGACCATAGCTAAGACATGTGTTTATATGTAGAATTTTAGAAAATGTAACTCTAATCCTTTGCGAGATATTAGAGTTAGTACACTGTCCTACGGGCCATAGCCGCGCGTATATATAATATTAGCCTATGAGCGATACCGTTAGCCGATAAAATTCACGGGGATTATAGCTAGAACATGTGTCTAGATATGTATCTAAATTTCTAGAAATGTAGCTCAATTCGTTCGCGAGATATGAGAGTTAATACACTTGCATGCCGCCTATAGCGCAATATAGCGTATGCGTACGGGGGGAGGGGGTGGGGGGGTTAACAGCTGTATACAATGCGCCAGTACATGCGGGCGCGGTTCAAACATTTAATCATCTGTAATTCACTTCTAAGGAATATCTACATTGGGCACCCCCTCTAATATTTATAGTACTGCCATAGGCTACAACTGTGCCAAGTTTGGTGCTTTTGTCAGCTCTGTAACGATCATGAAGCTAAGGGACCTGACTATAACTACATTCACGTACCTTGAGAGTATCGTCATCATCAGCGTCAGTCATTCTTTGTAAGAACACGATACAGGCACGTTACCAACTTAAAGGCTTTACAGGCTCTTCTTGGAGTCTCTCCCGTGATTTGTTATCGCTTCCCACGGCAAGATTCTAAATATCTGAAGAGGTACATGTCTCCTTGCAGTTTATTTTATCACATAGAAAACATTCAATAAACCAATTCATTTTCAAATAATTCCAGTGTTTGCATTTATTTCACATTAGATCACACAACTGTCATCACCATCTCATGCATTTACAATTGCGTTTTCTCTTAAATCGACACACTAATGTATGTTACAACACGACACATGTATGAAATATGTATTGACTAAAAGTATATTGGCATACCTATGTACAATTACGATAAATTGTGATACTACTGTAACAAAATGATATCATATATGATGCAAATAAAGCTTAGCACACTGCTAGAAAGTCATTCTATATTTCAGTAGGTTATTCAACCTTAGTAACTAGCTTGGGATAATTTACTTTGTAATATCCCAGATCTGAAAACATACATGAACCTGTATCTGTTTCTTCAACCAATATGAGTTCTATATAGTATGTGAGTTCTAATAGTAGAATGTCATACGTTAGGAATGAATAGTGTTTTCTGAGTAAAAATATTTGCTGCCACATCAAGAAGAGGTTGCTGGTGGAGCATACAACAAGAGGAACAACAGGAATAAGTAAGAGCTGAGAGTACTAGTGTGTATAGGTGCTTAAACAGCACATGACATACTGCTACACTTTATCTGAGCATTGCACACTTAATTATTATCATACCATGCCTTCTGCACTTGCGGGCTTCAACAAGGATAATTCACTGTCACAGTGCATAGGTTCACTGCTGCATTTAATGTTATATGTAGTTTAAGCACCCTTAACTAGCTCCACATGAAGCAGATAATTGTCCAATGCGAACATCCGAATATTTGCCGCATCATATGTCAAAGTTGTCGTCATCCTCATCTGATGCAGATGATGACGACGATGAAGATGATGAGGATGAGGAGCCTGAGGAGGAGCTACTCTTACTGGTCCCCCTCTCCACTTTGGCGACCGAATTCTCCACCTTTACGACTACGGCTTCCGTCGGTGATTTGCCCTTGCCCAGTGCTTTCTCATTCATTAACTGCTTCATTGATATGGCATCTGTTTTAATAGCCACTGGTGGTGGGATGCTCTGCCTGGGGGGTGGGGGGCTGCTCTGCCTGGGGGGTGGGGGGCTGCTCTGCCTGGGGGGTGGGGGGCTGCTCTGTCTCGGGGGTGGGGGACTTCTTTGCCTGGTGCGTGATCGCAATGTCTGATGCATCTCCTCTGGTTTCTTCTCAACCTCCGAGTCGCTGAGGTCTGCATACCTGATCACCTTATGCCCAGAAATGTCTGCAACGTCCATCTCCTGCAAAAAGTAAACAATAGGAGAGAGGATAAACGAGAGGACAAACAAAACGAGAGGATAAACAATAATAACGCCACCCTCGCTAGTAAATAGGTACCTAATCGGCAACCATGCGCCACACACGAAAACATTACGACAATCCCCGCATCATGTGAGAAGCAGCAGGCGTAGTGTTGTCATGCTATACTGCCCCGCCTACGGTACCACATCACAGCCTCGCAATTAGTGTTTTTGCAGAGTGATTCTATCTTTCTTATAGCCAGTTTGATTTTCTCTCCTGGAGAATAGAAGACTGTCAAACTCTCTCTATTGCATCTTCCAGCTAATAGCGGAATAGTCAGTAAAACTACCAAAAGCATAATGGGCCAAATCAAATGTATCGTAAGAAATCTTCTACTTTAGGATCCTCTTGTAACAACTATACATACATAACTATAGTCGACTTATCCATTTTGAGCAAGATAATAAAGCCCCCTCTCACCCCGCCAGATATTGTTAATAGGTCGGTGAAGCTAGACCAGATTATACGTGTCTTTCATACATGCACGCCAAATTGTCTTTGCCGCACTTTGTTACGCGCATTGTGTTTTAGAACGTGATATCACAACACTAGACTAGCTAAAACTACCTGTCAATCATACCAAGCAGATAGGCAGATTAGAGAACATTACATCAGCCCGCGCATCCCGCGCGCGACCTCTATCCCACTCATCCCACGCGCGACGCACTGACCTCGGTCCTGAAGTCGTCCAGGTCGGCGTAGTTGACCGGCTTGCGTGTGCTCTCCAGCCGCGAGCGCTCCGCCTCCAGCTTGCTGACGTCCTGGGCACGCCGCGGCTCCCTGGGCCGCTGCCGACCCTCGTTCGCGCGACTCAGCAGCGAGCGCGCGTCACGCAGCGGCCTCGCCCGCCGCCCGCCGCCGCCCCAGTCGTCATCGTCGTCGCTGAGGTCGCGGTAGTCTGCGCGGTAGCGCGGCCGCTCGAGCCGGTCCCACACGTCATAGTGCGCACGCTCACGCTCCCAGATGTCATGCTCCTCGGCGTCGCGGCCGTGCGTGCGCCCGCCATACGCATCGATGTTGCGCGAGCGCTCGAGGCTATCCCACGACGCGTCGTCGTCGTCGTCGTCGTCGTCGTCATCGTCGTCGTGGCGCTGCGGCTGCTGCAGTCGGTCCCAGACGTCGCCGCGCCGCGCGACTGGTCGCTGTGACGCCGCCGCGTCCGCGCTGGTCTTCTCCTCGTTCCTGAGGGAGAGAGATGGGTACTCGTGATGCTGCGCGTAAATACCGCAGCTAGTTAGTCTGCGTGGTGATGACGGCGACGTGTTACACGGGGCGTGTTACATTAGGTGCCAATCACACTCGCAGGCTAAAACAGTTGTGGCTGCCCATGCTCTCTACGACTGATCAGCACATTGGACACTCGAAAACTATGAACATCGGAAACGTTGAAAGATACAACTACAACTACACAACAACAAAATACATAACGTAACAACTACTTTCTTAAATCATTCAATACCCTCATGATTACCATTATAAGATCATTATTATTTTGTTTATTAATATTATTATTACTCTAATTGTTATGATATTGATTAATAAGCGATTGCACGCGAGGAAAGACTGCCTGAACAGCATCTGTCACGTACCCGCGCGAGATCATGTGTCTCAGGTCTGTTGTGCGCTTACTGCTCCTGCCCAACCTCTCCATCACAGATGGCTTCGTTTGTGAGGGCTTGGTAGCACCCCCTTCCAGTGATAACCGTTCTTTCACGGTCTGTGCTGTCGTTACCGTTATCAGACCTGTGTGGTTTCTTTAACAAGCAAAACATTTCATTGAATCAATACATTAGAGAAGCAAGTATCACAGCCATATACAGTGATGGCTAAACACAGCCCAGTAACATGACACTAAAGTATGTAAACTCGGGTTACCCACGAATCATTTTTCATTAATCACTTTACTTGTAGAGAATGTACTGTCGTTTTTGTATATATTTTTTTCTTCATGTTGTATAGCGCTGTTTTGTACTGTATCACTCAGAAATGTTTATTTTTTTAACTGCTTAACACTATTGCATCTATCAGATTTTTTCTCCATGAAAAGACTGTCTTCAGCACACGTATTTGTATTTGAATTACATGCAATAAAGATTTATAATAATAATAATAATTTGCCCAACCCTGCCTAACCCAACCTGCCCCAACCGTGCATTTCAGGGGAGGGGCGGGCAGGATATGCAGAAACTCCTGATTCCCTGTGCAGATGAGGCGAGTAGCGGCATCAATCTCACCTCTTGCTCTGTAGATTGTCTTCCATCTCGTCTGCGTACATGCGCTTCGTCAGCCTCTTCGCAGCTGGTGGCTTCAGCAGTCGCCGCACCTCTGCCTCCATGTCCAAGTCGTCGCTGTCGGAACCCGACGCTGCAATGCATGCGCCACGAGCAATAATATATCAATGAGATAGAGAGAGAGAGATGGAGAAAGAAAGAGAGAGAGAGAAAGGGACCGAGACAGTGAGATAGAGAGAGAGAGAGAGATGGCAAAAGAAAGAGAGAGATAGAGAGGGCAAATGAAAGAGAGAGAGAGAGAGAAAGAAAGAAGGAGAAAGGGAGAGAGACAGTGAGATAGAGGAACAGGGAACCTCACTGGCCATGGCTGCTGTGCGGGACTGCTGGCTGTCCATCTGCTGCGGCTATTAGTCCAGACCGTCAGTGACCCAAACTGAAGAGTCTCACACACTAAACATCGACAGCCATCCGCCGCCGACGTAAGTGCCTAAACGCTCTCACACCCCTCGATTCAATTTTCCGTGGACTGCTCATCCTGCTGGGCACGGCGGATACTTAAATGATCCGCCCTTGGGGCACGAATACACCGCGGTGGCAACTCTGCGCGACTAGTAAATTGCATCTTGTTCGAGTGTAAACTGCAACACGCATGAAGATGCACATGCCTGCATGCACACAGAATGCACATGTATGCATGCACATGCACACACTTGCCTGTGTAGACAGATACACGAAATATAGGAGAGATAAGATAAGGCATGAGGGCCTGATGCCAAGCAGCCGCAGTCTGCAGGACTAATACACGGCGTGGAAGATAAAGTATCCGGCTAAATATGCCATACCTTGGTTTTTCACGAACTCACTGAATAGAAAACGTCTCCTCTATGACAGATAAGGCGTGCGTGTAGTTCCAATTAGAGCATAATTATCAAACACAAGCAAACTTATTGTAAGATTCTGTGTAAAGGTTACACACCTCCAGAGAGCTTCCTCTTTGCAGCCCACCTCGTGGCCTCCCTCTCTCTGTCCCGCTTCCTGACAGCGGCATCCCTATTCCGCATATGCTCCTTCCTCCTCTCGCTAGCAAGTGTACCATCCCCCTTCACCCTCCTCTCCTCCAGAAGTTCCCGGAGGTCTTCCGGTTCACTCCGGATTTCTCCCTCTTCCGGCTCGGATTCCGACTTGTCTTTCCTCTCTGGCTCCTTGTGGATTTTCTGACCCCGCAGTCGGCGCTTGCGAGACTCGCTGATCAATCCTGGCAGATCTGAATTGTGATAATGTGTGATGGCTATTTACATTTCCTCTGGACACTGTGTTTGCCTTGTGCGCAGCCCAGCATTTCACCACTAGATTCACCTACATAAATATTCACTTCTTCCATTTACCCAATAATCCGTCCGACTCTGGATTATTGGAAGACATTTAAAACAAAATCACAAAAAAAACTAAAGTGATAGTTTCCCTTATATAGGGATAAACTGTGCATAATTATATACCATCATAGTTTGGATTTCCATATTTTCTATAGTAGTTACTCTTCTTCTCTGCTCCCAATTCTTTCTTATCAGCTACAAAGAAAAAGAAAATGGAAACAGTGTATATTTTGTCATTGCATATGTGCCATACTAAGTATGAGAATTACAGAACAGTAACAGATGAATCACTCGTGACATTTCCATCTCTCCAATCTTCCAAATATCCACACACACAGACGCAGATGCACACACATGCAGACCCATGTGCGCATGCATGCATGCCCACCACACATAGAGACACATACACACAGACAAACACATACACACACACAGGCACGCACACACACCTTTGGTTGCAAAGCGCATAAGTAGCACATCAGCATTCAGATGTGGGTCAGCCAATCGCCATCTCCCTGCTGGAAGTTGTATGTTCTGGTCCATTAGTTCTTCAATGCAGACAGAAGGGGGCGCCGGTGGTGTGTTCTCTGTCTCATTAGCCTTCTCTGCTGCCTGGGTTACTGAAACGTCCATGGCATCCTCTTCCATTGATTCGTCTGGGTCCTTTTCAAGATCTAAGATGTCATCATCCTCTGAAATATGATTTTAGATCTTTTCATCTTCATGAGCCTACAATTCACATTCACATAGATACATACATACGTGATAGCACTTATGCTGTTGTAACCTTGTACTTCGGTGGTGTGTGGGAAAGGCCGTAGGAGTGATTAGTAGCAACAGCGCAAGACAAGAAAGCAAACACGAACTAGCAACGTAACGTACCACAGACGGTTATATTAACCATAATGCGTGCGACAGGTAACAGTGAGAAGCGTACAAATGAGCGCGTACAACAGAGTGTAGGCAGGGGTCAGATGAGTGGAAGGGAGTACCTCCTGCTCCCTGTCGCGGCCCCCTTAATTACGACCGGGCTTGTTGTCCGACCTCCGGGCGTTACCTTGCGACCTGTCCAGCTTCGCCGGGACTGGTCTGCGCGGTTCCCGGGCACGCCATGCGTCGGCTGGGGGTTATATATCATCACGCACTCCGGCCTCTCTACCGACACCGTTAGCTACTTTATTACTCCCATTATTTATATATTAATGCCTGCTGTTGGGGGCACTCTGCTCTCATAGTGTTGCTGAGGGAAGGAATAGTGCCCGAGCGGTAGCGAGGGCACTATTCCTTCCCAAAGCAACACTATGAGAGCATAGTGCCCCCAACAACAGGCATTAATGTTTTTAGTGCATCACATGACTATGCAATCTACTTTTCATGCTTATATACCTTCTTTATACTCCCTAATTTGCCGGTGCATTCGATGTAACAAAACGTTCGACACAAACACAACCGCCGTTCGAAACTTCCGTGGCGCCCAGACGCAGGAGATTCGTGACGTGAACACAATGCGTTATAATAACAATGCGTCGCGCAAGCAATAGTGCCCGCTCAGGCGGGCACTATTGCTTCATAGTGCCTGCTGCGTTATCCAATGGAATTTCAACGATTTATCACGTGATGCACTAATACCCCATACGCTGCATCGCGCGCACCAAATTTAATAGTCGTCCTCTCGTATATTTCCCACTGGCTCGTCGCCAATGCCACCCGCACGGCGTCATGCCTAACTAACAGTAATTAATAAGCGCAATCTGCTAGGCCTGAAGCCTGCTCCGTTACACTGTCACAGACATGGACAGTCATATATCCACAAACTAGCAAGGCAATGAAAAACATACCTTCAGTATCCTGTCCCTTTCCTGCTGCGTTAGATCCCGTTTTATTCCCCTTTCCTTCACTTGCACTTTCTTTCGATACTAGCTTGCTCTTACTTGCAGAATCGTATATGATTTCTTTACTGCAGCTGAACATCACTCTGGCTGATGTATTAGAGTCCTCCCATACAACAATACCTAAACATCAGCCATATTCTTTTAAACAATACACTGAAATAATTAGGACTTTCCATTAATGCTAGTATTAAATAAATCACAGTGGCTACGCGTCCGGTTAGCCGTTACAAAGCTCAGCACAGATTCCCAAATCCATGTCACGATTAGGCCATGATTAGGCAGAAATCGTTGATTTTACTGGATTTACTATTGCTTCAAAAGTTACAAAAACACACTTTTTTGATAAAATACCTAAAAGTAAGTAATATTATGATAACAAATTATTGTTTATTGTTTTTTACTGAAAAAATATGGTTCGCATTAGAAATATATAACCGGACGCGTAGCCTGGGAGCTGGGCGTCCTGTAACCAGACGAGTAGCCACGGCCTAAATAAATATATCTAAATACACTACAAGTTAACAAACAAGAGCCGCAGAGCGTCTGGGCTTATCTGAGATCTGTTGCTACGGTTATAAACGTAACATTTAAGTCGTGCGTAGTGACACCTTTGTTAGGCGCAGATATGCAGATACGCAGTTGCGTACACATCACTTCAGCAACCTTCTGCATTCTGCATACCTCCCAAATCCCATTGGTTGATTCAAATCGCGTGCTTGAAACTCCTGTTTTATGGTGCATTGTGACCCTAACCCTAACCCTAACCCTATTAAAAATAAAAATAAATTTAATTGTTGTAATGAAATTGTTGTAAATAAATCATGTAAATATTTGCGTTAATTGGAAAGAAATAGTTAAATGGATAAAGATAAAAAAATACAGAAAACAGGTAAATAATAAAAAATCTGATGGGATTTGATCCAAGGACCTTTGAGCCGTAACACTGTGCTGTAGCCGTTGGGCTATGCAGGCTTAATGGCTTTCCAGATTATGGATGTGCCATGAATATGAGAACACTGTGACATCATTGAGGCAGTTCAGGAATCCATGTTTAACCCTCCTCTTGAGGGTCAAAAGGTTATCAGACACTTACTCTTTGCATGTCAGTGGAAAGCACATTTCATGGTCCTTTCAATAAAGTGATAAAAATGGTAGGTCAGCGCTGAAACAAAAAAGTTTTTCACTCTGTCCGTTAGCCCATGTCCTAAAAAAATGTCTGATATCTGATCTTTCCCCCACTGCCCTTTGACCTGTGACCTCCAATTTCGCACTGGTGATGGGTTTCCTGCCCATCACACTATACACCAAATATTAAGAGCATAGGTCGAGCCGTTAAGATTTGTGCCGCAATTCCGTATTTCCTCCTATACCTTAAGTTAAGGGGGAAATATTTCCCCTCCGTTTACACATCTTGACCTTTGACCCTTGACCCCCAAATTGATAATCCCGAGTCCTTTTCACGACTTCCCCCCCCCCCACGTCCCTAATATCGTCACCGTACGTCGAGCGGTTAAGATTTGTGCCCAACTGTTGACGCACGGACGGACGGACAATCATGCGATTCTACAAGCTGCATCTGACTTCGTCAGATGAGCTAAAAATCGATTACCTGAATTTTGATAAATTTCCTAAAATCAAGCTTTTAAATACATCAGCAGCTAATAATCTAATTGCACATATATTAGCATGGCAGTTCAAAACTCGTTTTATTTTCGAATATCACCATTATTACCTCTGCCGACGGAGTGGAGGAGGTTATGTGATCGCTCTCGTGTAGTGCGTTCGTGTGTTAGTACGTTCGTGTGTTAGTGTGTTCGCGTGATCGATATTAGCGCGTCGAGTCAGAAGCAGGCCAGTCAGTCAGCAGCAGCCAGCAGTGAGCGGCAAGCCAGCTTGTAACACATACATGTTACATGGGGTGTATGGCGTATATCGCTGGCGGAGGTATGCACTCCGTGAGTGCCCTGTCTAGTTATGAATGCATTCCATCTCTCAGGGGTAGAAATTAACATTTGAACAAGGGAGTCAACTCCATGGGGGGAACTGACTCCATGCCCTCAAAAAGAGGGAGTCTGCGGCAAAATGATGGAGTCCGCAGTCTGAAGTTCAAAACTAAAGATATTAACAATAATGCATGTGCTTATTTTGAAGATTCATGCGGTTGCACGTCTGCTAAATTTTCTTTGGACATTTGCTGAAAAAAATACAGTAATTTTGGGTGGGAATAATAAGGAGGCCATGCTCTGGAACGAACTAGTTAGTATAGCAGAATTTTCAGGGGGCACGTACTCCTGCATATGTCAAATCAGGGAGTCCGACAGTAAATCAGGAATTATTTGACTCCGGGCTTGCGTTAATTTCGCACCCTGATCTCTTCTATTGCTGATAAAAATAAATGACAAAATTTATCTAATCCCTTATTTAAGGAATCTAAACTCAACAAACTTACAGGCGATGTCATCAATCCACTCTATAGCAGCCGGCGCATAGTCTCTGAAGTATTCCAACACATCCTTTGTGCTCATATCATCAACTCCCCTGAAGTAGATTGCTTCTGTGCGAAGCTCTGTGTCACTTGCACTCACATCCTCCTTCGTTAAACCGAGGCTGAAATGCAGTGAGGAAAAGCTGATGGATTCTCACATGCTTGTTGTATATATACTATCATATATATATATATATCAAAATCATGAATCAATTCAGAAGCAAACCGGTTGCACATTTATTTCTAGTAGCCAGCCACCTTCGAAATACCTTCAATTTCTGCTAATAAACATAGCCCCCTTAAGGGTGAGTACCTTCGGTACAGTGCTGCTATATCCACTGCACAAGTCGCTCCTTTGTCTTTTACACCAAACCGCTTTGTTCTGTCCGCCCGCCGCTTCTGCACTTCCTCCGATGAAATGTCGATGTCAGTGATAAAGTTTCCAACCTTCTTCTTGTAATTGTTTGCAACCTACAAATTGAAGATAAAGTTCAAAATAAGAGACAAAGTTCAATATTTTTCTCTGATCATAGTAAAAAGTATAACTGACCAGTATACTAGTATCTGCCTGAAGTACTAACAGGTAGTTATAACAATAAACATCATTAGTTTCTAGGGCGATGCAGCAGTGCACTCTAGCACTGTGGATAATGACAGGTAGTATCATAATACTTCTTTGGTTTGTCTCGTGATACAATGTAATGTTGTTCGTTTATTGCAGACTGATGGGTGTAGTGTACACGTGGTTAAAGAGGCTGATCTACACTAGAAAGGTTCTGTGGCAGTGTGGAGATGGAATGCCAGCAATGCTGAGCAGGGTGTCACTGGCCTGCCTCAGCTATTTAGCTGCGGCTGCCTGATGGTCTCACATGCTGCATCGCCTTTGTCCCAGAGAAACGGCACTTAGCTACGCCTTAAGCAGCAAACTTTCAGGTGTCAAGACAAATTCCAATAGCAGTTTTATAAGACGACTTCAGTTCATTTGAAGAAATCAAACAATTTGCTCGCTATGGAAGTCTTTTGGATCGGCACCACCAAGAAATAAGAACTTAAATCACTGCGCTCAATATTTGGCCATCACCTATGGTGCTGGTTTCAATACAGCGTAAATCGAATGATGCTGACAATGAATGTCAGAATGACAGTGTTGATTGTTAGTGTTACTCACTGACACTGTTCTGTGTTCACTCTGTTGGTTAATTGCTAGATACAATAATGTAACCCAACAAGAGTAGGGTTACAACGTGAGTCTACCCCCTATTCTTTTCTTTGGAGGAGCCCCTGAGTGATTTACTCAGGGCGGTTTTATGGTGCGTTTTTCGAGACCACAACTTCCAAACTGGGTTTATTCTAAACACGAACCTTTCTCCGCTATCCTGGGACTTACTAGTCACTATGTATCACAATACTCTGTATTAAACTATTATAACCTGTTACAAATTTTGGAAGTGACGAGCGACGATATTTCGAACGCCATCTCTGTTGACCTGTGACGTACAGATTCCTAATGTGCATAGCGTTCGGCTAACTTCGGCTCCAAGATCGAATGTATCATGGGATGCCTGCTGTCAGTCATGACGTCATGACAAAGTTAGCCGAACGCTATGCGCATTGGGAATATGTACTATTGCTATTTATGTAAACACTAATGTACTTAAAATCATTTACTTTTCTCTAGTTTATCCTTACCTACTTTATGCTGTACTTACCTGGCGGTCATCAACTAAAACGGTATTACAGATTTACACACAGTAAACAGGATCCACAATAAAATTATCAAACACATGACCTTCGCAGGGCCTAGAGAAAATGTTACACAGTCACTTACACCATACTTCTTGCAACTTGGTATGCTAAAACTTCCTGATATCTACCAACTAGAACTATCCAAGCTAATGTACCGGTTCACTATCAACGAATTACCTGATCTGTTCAACAACTACTTCACCAGCATATCCAACGTACACTGCCACTCTACTCGACTTGCAGCTTCTATGTCCTATTACCTGCCTAAATTTAATACTAGTTTTGGATATAAGACACTAAAATTTGTAGGTGCGAAGCTCTGGACAAAGATTCCACTTCATATAAAAAACTTGCCCTATGCAAAATTTAAGCAATCCTACAGAAACATCCTAATACAAAAGTATGAGTAATAGTTGCACTGTTCTATTCTGTTGTATATTTGATGTCAATTTAGCTATTACCATGTAATACGCTAATTACCTCTATAAAATTGTGTACACTACAGATGTGTTTTTCAGTTATGTTTTGCTCACGATTCTATTCTGATGTATGATTACTGTCCATGTAACTATTACTGTGTAATATCAAGAGCGTATTAAGAAGGAGAGCGTACAACGGTGAAATGCTAAAACCATGTTGCAGTATTAGACTATTAGTTGAATTAATAAACTTTGCCCATTTTATTTTGACGATTCTTTGTGGTATTATTGATCAGCTGTCCTAACTTGCTAATATAAAACAAACCGCTTGTCCCTACGATGCCTCTACGTTGAGATAATGAGCAGTGAAAATCTGGTATTTTCGCCGAAAACTGACTCGAGATACGTAGTGGCTGCGACTTTCTCTCGTTCTGGCGATAGCTTCGGGAAACCTCGCGTGTTTCCGTCATTCATTGACAATGAAATTTATTTTCCTTCTACTATCTTTTCTTGCATTTCCAGTCATTGATGCAGCCATTACTCCACAAAAACGTCTTGTTATTTATCGCCATGGTGTTGACTGGCCCCTTACGCTGGATGTAGTAACGCTGTAGTAATAACGTATCGAGTCAGCGCTACACAGCGGCGACCGGAAGCAACATACAATCCACAAAACGAGAGACAGTCGCAGTAAAACTGATCTCGAGTCGGTTACCATATTTTCACCGCTCATTATCTCAGCGTAGAGGCATCGTAGGGACATGCGGTGCAAAGAATCGTCAAAATAAAACGGGGAAAGTTTATTAAAGCCGCACTATGTGCATCCAAACGCTAATTTCTCCAGTACTAGACTAGCAAATACTTCGTGACATGCATAATCACACTACCTTATGACAAAATAAACTCTAGTTACTCCCATTTCACTGCGCGTTTGCTTAAAACCCACAAGAAAGAGGTGAGAAAACTGGCATTCTGGCACAAACGCCGACTGTTTGCCAAACAAAATAGCCTCGAAGTGGTGACGTGACGTCACATGTTTTTATCTTTGCTGCGCCCGTACCGCTGTACCGCAGCACCGCTGCACGGTTGCTTGGGGATTGGGGAAACTGTCAACAACATCGGAGAATTTCAACAACATTGGAGGTATTATCAAAATACCTTTTATAAGACAACGCACAGTGAAATGGGAGGAACTAGAGTTTATTTTGCCATAAAGTAGTATGATTATGCATGACACGAAGTATTTGCTAGTCTAGTACTGGAGAAATTAGCGTTTGGATGCGCATTGTGAGCCTTTAATTCAACTAATACTGCAACATGGTTTCAGCATTTCACCGTTGTACGCTCTCCTTCTTTATACGCTCTTGGTAATATGTTTCTGCCTGTGTTCAACAGTGTATATATATGTGCATTTTGTAGCTTTGTTTGTTGCTACACAGTTTGTTTGTTTTTTCGTTCACATTTGTTTAAATTTCTTGTTCATTTTATTCTCCGTCATGTTTTTGCTGTTTCTCATACTGTATATATACTACTAGCTGCGGGTACCCGCTGCGCTGGGTAAAATCGTGCTACTAATTCATACTACTAATAATTGGACACAATAGGAACATTGGGTAAAAATCGACAATATAACATTGCACACAATATCAATATTTACAAATGAGTGTAATAAGATAATAAGCATGGGGAAAAACTGTTACGTATGACATTTATATGACAGCAGAACCCAACTTAGAACCCCTGGAAGATAATAGTAATATGGTGGGAATGAAAAAAATTTATTATTTACGTTGGGCTTGTGCTGCATATAAATGACATAAGTGTCATACGTAAACCGTTTTTTTACCAATGCTATTATCTGATTCACTCATTTGTAAATATTTATAGAGATTCACTTAGTTTAGTATGAGTATTATATAGTTTGAGAGGTTACGATTGCTCAAAACATCAAACGCATGAAAGCGCGTACCAAGTGAGTAAACTTCTTTGTATAATTACAAATTTCCCCACTCGCTGGCCTGTCTGTATACTATATATCGACTTTTTTTATTCATGCTACGATTCAGAATTCATTGTACCATTCGAAAGCTATGCTTTTCTGATTCAGTAGAAAATTCCATTTATTTCAATGTGTATGGTTGCACGCCAAGACATTCACTAGACCAATATACAATGGACACAGACCCACTCGCTGGCCTGTCTCTATCTATACTATATACCCAATTTCGTTTTATTCATCCTAACGATCTGACAATGGATAGCTGTACGTGGTGAGCTCAACAGTCGAGACGCCAGCAATCTCTACATATTTCCACCAGACAATAACACGCAAACCATTGTTTATCAAGAGTTTTCAAATGAAAACTGCAACCCATTCGTACATGCCTGTTT